TAAATAAATAAATAAACAAGAACTCAATAGGATTTTTGATGAAGTTCCGTGAAAACTGACTTCTATGGTATTCTTAAAGTCATATTTCCATTCTACCATAGGAAATAAAAGATTAAGAAAATATGAAAATATTGCACATGTTTTAGGAATAAACGCTTTTTTCACAAAAGTAAATTAATTTATTGTGTTAACTGATAGAAGCTAAAAATACTATTCCACAATATTTTTTGTGGAGTTGATGAATTTTGAGAAAATTGCTCAATACCATAGGTGTACACAGCCTGAAGATGGAAGCAACTACAATTCTGGGATTCTCTAGAGCCTCTTTACCATTAAAAAATTTTATTTACATATTATGTCATATTTTAGTAGTAAATAAAACATACCACAAGGGGAGTGAAATTATTACTTAAATTATTAATTTATAAATACAATAGATATAATGTTAACCATTTACATACAGGGTTGGCAAATAGTTTGGAAAGTTTCTTCCCCAAAAGTCATTTATAAATATCCCAAAGTGTCAGCTAAAAAAAGGGAGAAATCATGAATTTATCATATTTATAGAAGTAATATGTTTTATAATGTAATGCTACAGGACCTCTTTTGAAATTTTCAGAGGGGGTCATAGCCCTCCAGACCTGCCTTCTGGATATGTCTACGCTCAGTACTGGTGGTGGCTGGTGAGTTGCAAATTAAGAGGGGTGACATGTGTCCGACCTATCACATATATTTTACCTCTTCTTATGTAATACTACTTGAATGAGGGAAAACTATAGCATATAGTGTACGACAAATTTGCACAATGGGATTTTAATCATTGTCTAAGACAACTGTTATGTTGATAACGGAAGATGTAATTGTGCTCACGCAAAAATACGAGATATTTAAAAAAATATTTTCAGGAAACAAAACAGCAATATATGAAATCATATGAAAAGATCAGTATTCTTTGGTTAATTAATAGGCATGGACTTTGATGAATAAAATCCTAATAGCATCATGTTGCCTCCACACAATTCTCACTCTTCCTCAAGCTTCCATTGCTTCACATGCACCAGCTGTGGGTGGACTCCCGATAGTCCAGGTTGCTACCCATCCCAAAAACATCGATATTTTGCTTATGCGAGCACATGAAAGTAAATTCGTTCCAAAAATTGCGCTGGTGGTACGCACAAATTAAACGAGACGATCTATTGCAAATTAAATACTTTATGCAACTTTTCCCAAGGTTGGTCTTTCTTGGGTGGGTGCCGTCCTAGAGCCCTTAAGGTGCAGCCACCAGCCTACAGAGGATGGTGATAAAACCGCTAAATTTCGATCCTAAAGTTATTTTGCGCATTGACTCAAAGCTGCAAAGAATATCACAGGCTATGCATGCATAAAAATTATATTTTTTTCTGATCAAGAAATTAAGCTTTTATTGCTTCTTCACTTGTGAAATACAAATTAAAATGTTTGTGTAATTATTAGGACTGTGTTTTAAATTGGCAAATTGACTAACAAGCCAATAAATCTTAAGGCTATTACTTGGCCACTGTCATCAGGCCATTTTAGCTTCACTGTTATTTTTTTTTATTATTTCAGCTAAAGACAGACTGTATGTACATGTGATTGTATAAATAATTAACCAAACTTTCTTTCAATTCATTTCATGAATTATTTCTCCCATAAAACAGAATTAAAACACAACAACTTGGCCTCACATTTGCTTTTCATGCCGATGTCGCTCCTCTATCCAGAGGCGGTTTTGTATATAAGTAATTTAGGAAGATGCAGTGAAGAGAATTTTTAGGGATAGCTCAATTTTGATAAGACAATTTTTTTAAAATAAATTTAATATTTTAATCTCAAAAATTCTGTTTAAATAAGGTTTTTTCACATGAATCATTAAACAAATTATCTGTAATTTTAAATACTACTAATCAGATTGAATAAAAGCCTAATAATGGAACAAAATTTAAATAATTTAATATAAAATTATCATATATCATGCGAGTCTGATGATGCCTAGAAAGTTTTATTAATTGAGTTGTACATAACATTCATGTAACTTTCAAAAATGAAACAAAATAGTAGTATTTTATGTATTTTCCACTTTTTTTCACTGCAGTATAAATGCTGTATTTTTACTAAAATTGCTAAGATTTTCATTTTTTTATGCGTTTTTTTACTAGTCGACTTCTTAAAAACCGTTCTACCTAGAAGTTAATTACCAATTTGTTACAATGTCAACTATTAATGAATTCAAATATGTCAACCGAATGCAAATTCATATTTTGCACTGCATATTATTACATTACAGGTCAGAAATTCAAACACAACACTTGAAAGTAAATTACTTCAAACCCTTACCACATCAACATAAAACGAGGGGTGTGCATTGTGCACTGTTTATATTGGGCAAGAGGGCACAACTTCACAAGTTGTCATAGGACATTGTTTATTCTGAAAGGGTTATGACTTAATTACAATCAAAAGACAGAAAAAGAAAATATGATAAACATGAAATTTATTGAATTATTACAAAAATACAAATAAGAATATCTGTGCATTCTGGACGGATAATATAATACTTAAAATTGTGCCCTTATGAGATTTACCTCCATGAGATGCCAACATTCAAACTTTTTCTAACATTATACATTTCATTTTCACAAGAAAGTATATACTGCAAGATAGAAAATTTTACAGAAGAGAAAAAAATAATGTTTAAATGTGGCAAATCCAATTCTTACAATCATATGTTCTTTCACATTACAGAGTCTGCATGTACTTCCTAACTTTTTAGTCATCTCATTTGTTTACATGTTCCATAGCAAAAAAAAGTTGCCATATATGATTACCAGGGAGCAGATCTTAGTAGATTTCCTTATTTTAATTCTTTGGCTTAAAATTATGTTTTAGCTGCACATTTTCACATTTGGTGCATACCAAAGGGCATTTTAAAAATTATTTTGCAGATTAAATAAAAAGGAAGTACCAAATTTAGTAGAGATAAGATCATACATTATTCCATTCATTGCTCAGACTTATTGTAAATGGGTGAGACTTCTGACAGCTGTTTCGGAAGTTACTGAAATTGACCACATATTATTCTTAGAGAAAGGTATCACCGCATTTCTTGTAACTAAGATCATGGAATTTTTGAGAACTTCCCTTTTGTAGTACTCGAAAATTTCTAACACTAAAAAGATCTGTGACTTTTGTCTTCATATTAGAAGAGAAACATGAACATATACACCACGGCACAATGAGGAGTACACTATTTCTACAAGATACAAGAGATGATTATTTTGAGATATTTAAGTCACAATGCTAACTTGAATGCAAAGATGAATAGTATAATCCACATTCAAGAGGAAGTTAAAAAGAAAGGGTACCCTGGAAACAAATTCCACTCAGGTAAATGAAGACTGAAAATTAAATATATCTGCTATTGCATTCTGTAATATTCACAAATTAGCGGTTGGTTGTCAGGTGCACCAGATAAAGGAATCTTTAAAATAAAAGTCAATAATGCAACAGTCCAACAATATACCTGTCCTTAAATGTTTGTATTTATCTGCACAAAGCTTCAAAGGTTTATTCTATCAAGCTTGTTTCAATGCAACTTCAGTTCTACCATTGATAACATAGATCTGATTACAGCATTTTCTGCTATTTCAGTCTTTCTTACTAAATACTTCAAACTCATACACTTCCTTCATACGCTAACCTTGATATTGTTGTTGAGAGATCAATGAAATACAAAAATTGATGAGTAAATGGACAAGGTACTAACAATTGATCAGTACCTTGTTCATTTTGCAACAAATACGTTTATACATATACTGCACTTTTATTAATGCTAATGATTCTGCTCCCTAATAATTATCAATCTCAATTAATAAGATTCAATTAAAGATGGTATGACAATTTGTAAACTTATAGAAGTTGGAAGACTTCCCCTTTACCACAGTATATATCCTTAATTTACACAAAAACTATACAAAAGAGCTTTCAGGTACAGATAATACATGCTTTGCCCTGGTCATCTAAATTATTTGCTAATATGAAGTGAGAATTTATATTTTGTTATAAATCACATTATATAATGCTAAAATGCAAAATGCATGAGATGTCTTTCATATATATATTATCCTTTTAGCAGATTTATTCAAATAAAAATGTTGTAATATTCACATGTCACATAAAAAGAAAGCCATGTTAAAAAACATTCTTACAACCCTCATCTCACTATTCTAATATTTTAATATTGATAAAGAACTGAGATAAAGTCTCAAGCATTTAAACTAAACAATCATTTAAGTAAAATTAAAATTTCAACAACCTTATTTGTGTAAATATATAAAAATTCTGATGCATTAACACAGATGAATGGACGGATCGTAAATGCAATTTAAATAATTTGTCTTATAATTGACAACTGAGTACCAGTCAGAAGAATATACTTTCACCAACAGAACTAAATTAATTAGCAGCAATTCAAATAATCCAATTAAATGAGATTATAGAATATCAAAGATCCACTAGAATAGATCTTTGGTAACAAGTTTTAGTGTCAGCACTAAACAAAATTAACATATCTATGTAAATGTTCAAGACAATTAAAAATCTGATGACTCTGAATCTGGTGGTGCATATTTCATAATACCAACAAGAAACCTCTAGGCACACAGAAAATCAAACACAGCCAATATCATTTGAAATTCTGATTAAAAATACTATCCAAAAAAGTTGTACCTATAAAATCACCTAAATTACATGTTCTTATTAGAAAAACATTTCTTACAAGAATTAATGTGTTCAGTAAAAGTTTCTATATGCAAATAGAAACAATACAAAAGTGCCAGAAAATGGCCCATATTTACAAACATATTAGCACTGAACTAAGATAATTATTGAATTGTTAAAAATAAGATTAATGTCAATGAATTAAACAAATAAAGTGACCTCATTTTTGCTTTTGTGAACAACAAAAATCTGAGATCCAGTTCATTCTAATTTTATTCTATAAAATATTTAAAATAATAATATATAAAGATTATATATATTAAATGGTTTAGCAATTACCCTCAACAAACATATGATTTTTGAGCTACCATATGAAGCACATAAGTTGACCTAAAATTTAGATACAGTACGAATTATTTAGCCGTGCATATGGCAGGAATCAGCTGTTGATTGTTTCATCCAATTGACAGCTTGTATCTCGGTACAGTGAGGTCACTGTGGTATTGTTGAAGCTCTCAATTGGATGAAACCATCAACATCTGATTTACTTCAAACGCACGGATAAATAAATCCAAGTATAGTTGCCTTCATTTTAATATCAATTTTTCTTTCAATAATCAATGAACTGGCAAACCTATTGTGTAATAACTTATGAGTAATTTGCTGAAACACTCAACCTTTACACAGATTTCGTAAATTTTAAAATAACATGAAATATACAAAATCTTCAAAAGTTTCTCAACTCATCAACTGTTGATATAGACTTATGTGTGCCATGCTCTTCTAAACAGTAACACTGATGCAAGACATACTGACACAACCATCATGCTTGATTTTGCCAAACTTCCGCTCAACTGAAAAGAAATTGTGCAAAATGTACACAATATTCCTCACAAATTCAAGTTAGAAATAATTTAATTGTACTTGGTACTTACAATGACATAATAGTTACACCTATCTCCTTGACAGCATTCAGAACATTTCCAATCTTCATACCAAATATGAGTGCAATAGGGCATCAATTTACTACGTGTTCTTTCACATACTTCCTTTTTAGCACATCGTTTGGAAATATAGTACTGTTTCTCAGCATGATGTGACCAATATGGTGTGCCTAATAACGGAAAAATTATTCAGTAAAATGAAAAATTGTTTCAAAATTGTAAACAAAGGGTCAAACAACAATAACTACACTATCTGAACCTTATCAATAAACAATATCACTCACTCCCCCATGCTATTTCTGAAAGGCAAACATCCTCTTCTTGCTCACAAGTTTTAATTGTTTGCAAACACTTTCCTTTGTTGTCTTCTTGTCTGTCACATACGTAACACTCCAGCCCATTACCTACAATATCATAATATAATTTTAACCTTAACCTAACTTCAATTTTCACAAACATAATTAATTACAATTCACACACCAATACTAACCAAAATTAATCAAATTCAGTACCAATAAGGTAGTTAAAACATACATATAAAATGAATTCATTTTTGAAAGCTTTTGGATCTACTTGTTATTCACAAGTTATTCTGGCGCTTCACCACACCCACTGTTTACGTTACAAATCCAAACGACTACAACATCGATTGTAATTCAATGCGATTATTGTTCGATTTTTCCGATAATCGATAATCGATCGATTCAGCGCCGTCATGAAATGTGGTTTTGAAAATCCAATGTTTTTTTCTATAAAATTGTTTCATTTATTTCATTAATGTACTCTTACATATACAATAAATAATAATTTTAATAAATTCAGGAGCAGATAATTCTGTGCTATATTCATATATTATTTGCAATTGTTTAATATAGTGTGACTCGTTACGCCTTTATCAAATTATCTAAACAACAATAATAATCTATAAACTTTTAACAAAACAACTATAATAACCTACGCAGGATTACTATTTACGGACATGCCACCCGCAAATCGAAATTAATTGCATTAATTATTTTTTTAACCCTAAGTGTATGCCCTTTTCTTCCTACATACTGATTCTAGCAAATACAAGGAGGATTGTCATATGTTCACTATTTGAGTAAACTGTTCACTATCTCAATTATTGATTCACTAATACAAAATGAGCATAGTGAACATATAAAAAGATATTTTTTTAAACTTCATTATAGCAGACTTTCCCCTTTTGAGAATCCTGGCTATCATGCTGATCTACACAGTTGTCATCTTAGTTTTGACCTCAAACATACAGAAATTGTTTCAATATTGGGCATCAGTTCTGGCCTCTAATGCTACACCGAAAGAATATTCAGCGTTATGGAAAAACTTGTACCGAAGAACACAACAGAACATTAGGTTGAAGCGACAGTTGAGTCAGTTCGAAGAAAGCTATACATTTTTTGAACACTCCATATAAGCGTACAGAAGTCAAAGAAGTATTCAAGAAGATTTATAACATCGTAAAAGCAACTCATCAATCCAAAATTATTGTTAAAAATAGTTAATCGATTGAGTTAAATAATAAGTCAAATCCCAAGAATGGTATGCAAAAAAATTGTAAAGCTAGCAATTGTGATGTTAATATGTTTAATTATACATTATTGACTACCATTAATTAAAGATTATATAATATTAAAGCAGATGATTGTTATATTAATATATGAAAATGTCATTGTTAAAAATTATCTGTCTTATCTTAATATTCTTTCCTCCTCCCTACTTCATTTTCTGAAGACATATCTGGCAACTCTAAATAAAAGAATAGCCTAGGTAACTACTTAATGTTCATTATCTTAGCACAAGTCACACTCTTACAAATCCTCTTGGGTTTCTATTTATATAAAATATAATAATTAATATCACTAACACAATTGAAATATTTAGCTTCAATTTATCAACCAGCCAGTCAAGATTTGATTTAATGGTGTTGTGGACAAAATATCAATCACACCCCCAGCCTCACCCCTGCCACAACTAGCAAAAGAGTAGTGAATGCTTGCATGGCACTTGCAGTGTAAAAAAGAAAAGAAAAAAACAAGAAGAGATTTAGCATTTGTTCAATGGATCGAGAAAAACTTAATTGAGATGGGGCAATTGACCCAGAAGCTGAAGAGCAATACATCCAACTTATTCCAAGCATCCAAGTATCCATCTTATTCCAAGCAAGGTCTTGGAGAATAAATGCAAAAAATGAAATGGGTATTCTGAGTAAGAAATCAGGAAATTCTGGTAATGTATGGATAGAAAAATATGTAAATAAAAGGAAGTTTTCTGAAAGAGTATATTAAAAACAAACTTGGTTGAATAGGAATTGTGAATTAGTAGATTACAAGAAATGATTTTAAATGTCTATAACTTTGAAGAAAATGACATATTCATGCACATGGTAATCATCAGACTTGTGAGTTAATAAGAGTTGTAATCAAAGTGGACACAGAAGCAAATTCTCAGCCATACAGTTTAATACATATGCCTATTTAATTTTCCATAGGTCTTGGAACCACATGATTCTTACTCTAATACCACTAACATACAAACAAACAAGAAATAAAGTAGATCAACTATAGCATATTATAAAAACCTTAAATACTATAAAATAAAGTATAAAATAAATGCATTTTAATTGATTAGAAAAGATAAGAAAATAATCTGAAAATAGTTAGGTGAATGGCAAAAAAGTTTTTTGTGAAATATTAAATTTTTTTTTAAACAGTTCATAAGAACTTCTATTAATTGTAAATTAATATTTGTAAATAAATATAAATCATATATTAAACTTCAGAAATCTTAACAATAAATCCCAAAACAAAATTATAAGTAGTATTTATTGATGTTCAAATTCAATCTGATCTGATTGAGAGTTGCTGGTCTGGGTGGTGTTTTATTTCAATGCCTCTTGACTGATGTTTCAGTCAAATGTTCCCTTGACAAGCTCCCTCAGAAAAGAAATTCTATGTACTGCACTTGGAGGGAAGGATTGTGCATAAAATAATGCAATAAAACGCTGGTAGAATCCACAGCTCTAATGAAGATCCTCAAACCTTAAGATCTTGATGAGTTTATAGCCAACAATTGTCGATGAATATTGATATTTATTGTATTACATTCCAATTAAAAGTATTTTTCTATTAAAGCCGTATGCGTACACATAAGCTGCATGGCCCCTCTGAAAATTTTGAAAGGGGCCCCCTTAGTCCTACTAAATAAACAATTTATTTTCATTATTATGATTAATTTCTTCCAGGGGCATATCCAGCCAATCATTGGAGTTTTGTTAAATAATAAACATATTTGTTACTACATTACATATTACATTTGTAGTGTATATATGACATTATTCTATATTACTTTTTAATAATTACATAATTCTGACATAAATAATATATTTAAATCAATTTTGCCAAATAAAGGAAGGTAACAAATGGAAAGGCCTGTGAGGGGGTCATGCCTCCCTCACCCCTGGATACACCCCGATTTTTCCCCCCTCCTTTTTAAGCTCTCAATTTTGGGAATTGGTACACGACATTTGGAGAAGAAACTCTCCTTACCAGTTGGCAACAGTGTAAATTTAATGTTGAACATAAAATCAAGAATTGATCAACCAACTCTAGTAATAATTTGTACTATTATTAAAATTATAATTTCATTATTCTTTAATATTTTATTTATTTTATAGTAAAATATATTATAAACAAAGCAACGTTTTTAGTGAAAGTGGGGGTTCAGCTACATAGGTGGACCACTCTCTTGTTTTAGGCTGTGCGCACCTATGATCTAGACTATAATTAATGTTAGTGGAATCAATCGTAATCCTAGTTCACAGCAGCCTTAGCGTTTCCATCGCATTAAGATGTTTGTTTCAAGGAGGCTGTCCACAGTTGGTGAGTCGTCAGAAAGAGGCCGCCTCCTGTGGCTGTGGCGGCGGGGGGCGTGGTGGGGCGGGGCGGAGCATGGGCATCCTGGAAGACGCGGTCGCCGGGCTTCCGGGGCACCACAATCAGCAACTGGGCGGGGGGCGGATGTGGGGCGAGGCGGTGCGTGCGCGAAGTGGAGTCAGTGCTCGAGCAGGCGGGCGCCATGTCGGACGGGGTGGAGGACGAGGTGGAGCACCCCGTGTGCCGGACGCTGTTCCGACAGTCGTCGCTGGAGATGCGGGTGGAGGCGGAAGAACCGCCGGATTCCTCCGACTCCGAGGTAGGGGGTGGCGACCGCCCGGCCCAAGGACATGTTGACGGCAACAGCAAAAATATTAAAGAACGGCTTTCATTGAGGCTCCGATTCGATTGTTTTCAACTTTAAATTCAATTTGATAATGCCTTCTTTACGTGGCGAGGTCTCTTCCATCTGTCCACGAAAATTTCGCTAAGCTCCTTTCGCCATCTAGCGGGAAAAGGAAGTATCATGTGAGCGAGGAAACAATTGTTTTGAAATTCTCTCAGAAACTTCTTTTAGGTTTGAGGATATTTTAGATGCAGTAAATCTACAACATGGGACAACCGGCTTTTCTTCCCTTCTGAAAGAATTCGTTCGACCTTTAAAAGCCATGGCTTTCATTGGAGTGGAAACCTGAAACTTGTTAATAACAGCGCGACTTTATAGCAAATGGCAAAGTTTCTTTCATTTCAATTTTCAATCTGATTTTCCAATACCATCATAATGGCAGCTAAGTATTCCAAAGCCCACTCCACTATTTGCTCTTGTTGATAAATCCATCATGTCTGCCCTTACAACTTGGGCTAAAAAAAAGGTAGAATTTTCTTTTGAAACACCTACATACTGACATTGAAGATTGTTTAGATACCTATAATGTCATTATTCAAAATATGTCTTCATATCATGAGACATAAGTCTTTTGATTAAAGTACAAGCAAAAAGTCTTCTTGCAATCACCTCGAACTGATGACTGTCTAAAGAAGAAAGACAGTCATCAGTTCGAAGTGATTGCAAGAAGACTTACGAGTAATTACTCGTAAGTCTTAACAATATGAGTAATACGAGTAATTATAACTACTATGTTTCACCTAATTGTACTAAAAACAATAAATATAGTATTATTTACCCTAAACAGATGAAAAATATTAATTAGCCTTGTAATAAAATCCATGAGCATCATCACACTTGCATGTGCTGTAGCTCGAACTGAATTTGCATTATAATGCAGATTATTATTTTATTAAGTTGGAATTATAGTAATTTTTTAGATAAATGTTTTAAGGAAGTCATGTGAACTTGATATGTCAAATACCGGGAAGTATATTTGACTCTCAATTACCTGCTAAAATCTTGTAATCCAAGATAAAAGTTGATTTTTTCTACATTCTTGCAATTTTGTTAGCCATATTCAAGAAAATCTCAATATCCAAGCTTCTTAAAAAAATTGGTAGACATAAATAGGGTTCCAGGGCATGAGATAGTATCTCTTTAAGGCATACAAGAGATAACATGATATTCAAATCAGTCCCAAAACATGACATTAAAATAAATTTATTAAGGCCACCAATCAGCAGAACAGTTTCCTCAGAATTTTCTCTTCAGTGAGGTGTCCTAGCTTACCATGGCTTCTGTGACGAGGAAACTTAGAGAGAAGAATATAGCAGGTACCTAGATGAAAGGTTTGGAAGAAAGGGAATCCAAACAAAGAAAAAAATCCCAATTGTTTTTACATAAATCATTTTAAGAATGTCAAACATGATAAATACTGTATTCATGTTGTGCTATTAAATTAATTGGAATTAGAAATAAATGCCTAAGTGTTCACTTTACACTTGCTGTAAAGATGGTCAAATAAGAAAATGGCCTTACGGAAAATATTACGCACACTTCTTAGCAGGCGATCCAGATGGGGCGGGTAGGCGCTTAAGATGCAAGATGCATCAGCCTCCCTCGAAACCGATAGCACACATTCACAAATATATTGTAACGAAAGTTATTCAATATCTCAATTGAATACATTGTAAATAACTACATAAACCAACGAACAAAAATAAATGTTCAATTAATTCGACATAAATTAAATATTAATTTTATTATGACTCTACTGGACACTTCACCTGAAAGTTTACCAATAGAAAAAACCTATTTGTGCAATTTTATACTTCTCTGTAGTATCCTGAGACGAGACGGGGACATATTTTTTTTACTTATTGCAACGAGACATCGCTTTCAAACGTTCCGCCCTTTCTTCCAGGAGGTGGAATACGCGCAGGTGTGCAAGCCTCGCGTGGTGGACGCCGTGCTCAAAGCGAGCCACCCGGCCGTGAGCATAACGCCTCCCTCGCCGCAAGAGGACCAGCCTCCCAAGCAGTGGGTGCGGTCGCCAGCTCCGCCCGAAAAGGAGAAGCAGGAGGGGAAAGAAGAGGAGAAGGACGAAGGTGGCGGCGGCGACAAGGTGAAGCACTCGGATAAGAATAAGGATGAAGACACTCAGGACAAGAATGAGGAAGACCACCAGATGGACAAGAATAAGGATGAGGGCACTCAGAAGGACATGAAAAAAAAGGACCAAGATCAAGATCAGGACCAGGACAAGGAGGACGGACACAAGGTGCAGGTGCGCTTCAAGGACCCTCCAGAGCACAACGAAAGGCACTCCTACGTGGGCACGCTGCGAGGTGAGAAGGCATTGCACTATAAAGTGGCACTGAACAAACTTGACCACAGAATGTTATCACAAAAATTATCGGTTTTGATTTTTTAAACCTAGAAGTTACTTGATTTACGTTAAGAAATAGTTGAAAAATAATCTCTATTAATGAAAGCAGTACGAAAATTCCGAAAGTACTTTCATCATTCAAACATTCTTCACCCGCCGCTTTTTGACACCATACACTACAAATTAAATTAGGCGGTTGACAGTTCGTAGTCAGATGGTTACGCCGAATATATTCATAATGGGAAAACTTCTTCGAATATGACGAGATCAATACACGGTAATTATTTTCAGTACATTAAGTAACATTACAGAAAATAATGTTTTTGGGGGTGGGTGAGAGGATAGCATCTGTGCCCTGCCCTGGGATCCGCCACTGTTAGCGACAATACCAGTGTTGAGAGAATTTAAATGAAGTGATGAAATGCTTTGCGAGATCGTCAATTGTGAGTAGCACATGCTGTTAATGTCAATCACATCGTGGTGGCGTAATGCGATAGATTGCACAGTACACGGCAAAGCCGTCTCCCTCCTCACCAGTCGACCAGCTTATTCGGACGATTCATTGATGACTTTTAAACTACGCGCCCTTTCCCAGTACGTATACTCTCCGTGGTCTCCGCCCCCGTAGGTCTGGCGACCAAGAGCTCCAAGAACAGCAGCGCTAGCGCCAGCTCCCACGCAACTGCGAGGCCGACTTCAACAGCAGCAACAGGAGCAGCGATGGCGTCGCCCAGGCCTAAAAGCCCTCGTCCTCCAGTTACACGCAAAGACGAGAAGGAGGAATCCTTCTGGGAGAAGATCGGCACCCTCGGACGCAAGAAACGCATCAAGGAAGGTAAGCTCATCGACAACCCCATTCATTCGCCCCTTTGCAGTCAACATTCAAATACGATCACTGTATTTGGGTGATGGCTGACTTCCAACCTATCCTTATATGGTAATGAAGACTGGCGTACGTCATTCTTGACAGAAGTAGGTCTTAGTTATTGCAAAAACAATATTCTAGTAGCTAGAAGATACAGTTACATTACTTTCTTCTGCCCAAAAATGTGTCTACTAAACATTGCAGTTGGTTTCGCATAAACGTTTCAGATGGGCGTGTCCTTAAATGACAGTAGTATACGTAAATTCGAAATGCTCAGAGAAAGAACTTGATTTAACAAACCGTTTAAAAATTATACTGTGTGTATGCTTATGTAGTTATTTATCACAGACATGTTTTCCAGTCCAAGAAGTTCAGGAAGAAGGCAAACATGCCATTGATTCTCCTGGCAGCCCCACTGCCCCAGACCTTCCTCCAGAAGACTACACTTTGGGTAAGAACTTTCTTGTTTGTGATAATTTAATTTATGAAAGGCACTTGTTAACGCAAATTATCGACTCTTTTGTAGATGTTGGAAACACATTGAATTGAAGCTATTTTCTTGTGTGAATATATGAAATGGGCTATGAGAGAGAGGGGGATGATTGTCAGAGGAGTGACATCATCAAGGGTTTGTCAACTGATAGAATGCCATACAAGATTTCTTGTTGCTATAGCATTAGATAAAAATATTACAGTAAACCAATTTAATTTCCTGAAAAACTGAAATAAAAATTATTTTAATTTCCAAATATTTAAATGGGAACACCTCTGCACTTTACCCCCTAGTGTGGCATCAAGTTCAGCAACACACGAATTATGAATTAAACTTATATTTTGAAAGAATTTTACAAGTTAGGAAAATTTATTTGCGAGTGAATTTTGAAGCTCAAAAGGAAACAGGACTTTAGATCCTAATGCTTTTGTAGGTTGTTTGCATGTTTTTCATTTTGTCATTAAAGAAAAGTTCATAGTTCTTGACAGTTAACATTAAAATAAGGATAGTATTAAAATACTGCAAGGCTATCAATGCCCTTGAATTAAAAACTATATTAGATTTACCCAGAGGTCGGACATTGCTTTTATATCAATGTATGTCAAAAATTTTGTTGGGTCAGCGTCATGGTATATAAGATTTATGAAAAGGCATTGTCTTTCCATGCGTATTACAAAAATATCATAAAGACACCCAATGAACATGAATAAAAGATCATTGTTTTTCACAGATCACAATTTCCATTTCTTTCATAAAAATCAAGTTTAAAATGTAACATTAAAGAATGAAATCCTTCTTGAAAGTAGGGGTGCGTCTTATACCCCGCAAAAACAGTAATTCACAAAAGTTCTGTTTACCTCAGGAGTCTTTGCAACTCAAACTAAATAAAAAATATTAGAGTTGTGAATGAATGTATGTTAGATACCATGAGTACTCGATTAATTATGTGTTGCAGTTCAATTTGCATACATTTTTTTCCAATTCACCGAGTTTAGAAATGATTGTCTTCATTTTCATAGTTTTGAAGGTTAGTTTTAATGTGTGAAGGTTAGTTAGTTTAAATGTGATTAGGAAAAAAAGTGTGCAAATGGATTCAGAATATTAATATTTTTAATTTCTTGAATTTTCATAATTGATGCATGACAAATGAAGTTGGAATTGTAACCACATTCATGTTTTTATCTTGCAGAGGAGAATGAAGAACGTTCCATGATAGAACCACGATCTTTTGATGATCCAAAGTTACGAGAACTCATAGCAGTGTTAATAGAGTGGATCAATGATGAATTGGCTGATCAAAGAATTATTGTAAAAGACATCGAAGAGGACTTGTATGATGGCCAAGTGCTACAGAAACTACTTGGTATGTTATATTTTTATATTTTTTGATACATTGGGATTCCTTTACAATGGCCTTCACATATATTAATAGCTCTCTTAGGCCAGAGACACATGCATTAAAAATGCATGCCTGTTATGACATGAATGGGGCATGGCACAAGAGTGCTCTGCAGAAGGACTGTTTGTCTGCCCAGAGTACTGATAGCCATAAAAATATGGACATTGTAACGCCTGTTATACAACATTTATGCCCACAACCTTAGGATTTTAACATGTCTTAAGGACAGATATTTCATTTCTATTGAAATCCAGCAATTTATATTACACGTGGCAATGAGTGTGTATGAACTTGATAAACTAAATGAGTACAGGTTGTAGTTCATTTTTCTTCTTATGATATGCATTTTATTTCTGTATGTAGGTGGTATATGGTTTTCCTTTGTAGATGAACCCATATTGTATTTGTTGATAGTTTACTATCAGGGGATCATTTTGTAGCAATAATAAAAACTATTAAACCATTAATAGAAAGTAATTTTCCCAAACTCCAATTGTGAATGAAAATGGAAGCCTAAAACAGATTGTGCATCTTCACATTGGTTTTGCAAAGATAATTGATATTTATTTACTAGGCTGTCTGGGTGACGCTGGGTCCATGACGAAGGTGCCAACGTTTCGGTCACCATTCTGCGACCTTCCTCAGGGCGTAATGCCTTCGCCATGGATGTGGCGTCACCCGGACAGCCTAGTAAATACTGACTCCGTCCGCAGAAGCGTACGCTCTCAATTGATATTTAATTCTGAATTGTGTTTAAAATGCTATTTTCCTCACTACATCAAAATTCATCACGCCTGAAGTGTAGGGCTTGGAGATGAGATGATGATAATAAGTACTTGTGAATAAGTTTTGGACAATTTCATTGAAATGCATTTTAGCAACAAACATTTAAATTTTTTTGTCTATAGAAAAGCTAAGCAGTCAGAAGCTTGATGTCCCTGAAGTAACACAGTCCGAAGAAGGTCAAAAACAGAAACTGGGTATTGTTTTGGCAGCAGCAAACAAGGTTAACTAACTTTTAATTGAAATATTTTTATCCCCTTAAAATCTGAACTCATTTACAAGTTTTGTGATGTGTACAAAGTTGGTTTCAATACCATGCATTGCAGGTTCTTGGTCATCCTCGGTGGTCACAACAAAAATGGAGTGTAGAAAGCATTCACTCAAAGAATCTTGTTGCAATTTTGCATCTCTTGGTGGCTCTTGCTCGACATTTTCGTGCTCCTGTTCGCCTTCCTGAAAATGTTGCTGTAGAAGTGGTAGTTGTTCAGGTACGAACATTTAACAAATTGTTAATTGAAAGTCTCTGAAGATGCTTCAAACTTACTATTTTTCTTTTTATAGAAACGTGAGGGATCTCTTAGCCATCGAACAGTTTTGGAAGAAATAACTTCCCATTATGATGAATTGGGAATGCGATGTGAAAGAGATGCTTTTGACACTTTATTTGACCATGCTCCGGACAAACTTCAAGTTGTTAAGAAGGTAATGTGCCATTTTTGTTGAGTATTTAATTTTAAATACATTCAAAAGAACTTCCAGTTTTGGAGTATTATATATGTTTAATATAATTACAACCAACATTTCATGTCTTGAAGGAAAGCACAGTACTATCATCAGTCTTTGTTTAATGATCAAGGCAAATGAAATGAAACACCTTATTAATACCGTAATCACATATCCAAAAACATACAATTGTTTTCAAAGATCACATTGTTTCTGTTTCATTAATAACCATTTTTTTTAGTGTCCAAGCTATGTGAATATTCCTCTTGTTTTATGAACATCTTGTTAGATGTTTATACACTTTTACTATTGTTTGAATATTGCTTTCTAGTTGAATTGTTTAATATTTGCTTTATGTGTAAGCCGAACTAGTCAGTTGTTGATCAAAAACAATTCATGATCACTTCCAAATAAATAATGGGATAAAAATGCTTAGAAAACAAAAATTTAGGGAAGGGTAAACCTTGTTGGCTGGTGTTATTGGTACCTCATTAGTAGAGACCAGATTTTTATGCAATTACATACTTTTTGTCTTTCTACTTATCGATCTCAAATTTGTAATCTTGGCGAATTGCCTACATTCCAACACAATATTCATTGTTTTGCTACAATTTTATACATATTCAGTACTATATTACATATTTTGGTATTTTCACAAAATATTTTTTTATTCTATGAACATTCTTCAATTTTATTACATATTTTTTATGAAAAAAGTATATACAAAGTAGCATATTTTCCTATATTATCACTATGCGATGTTTACTGCAGGTACATCACTTCATAGATGCTAGGATGAAGATGGTATGGTATCTTCAGGGAAGAAGATGGGTGATATTGTCACAGTAGGGTGTGCCTGTTTCAGTTTTCTCAGTGGGGGGAAGGGCGTGTCTGCAACAGATCACAGACTTGAGCAATCCCACCCTCCCTACTCTTCCATATAAGGCGACCTCGCTAGCCATCTGGCAGCAGTACATTCTGAGGAAGGCCACAATATGCTGGCCAAAACGTTAGCCACCATATTAGTGACGTGGCTTGTCACAGATAGCCATACAAACTACAGCCGCAGAAGCATATGCAACCAGATCATTTTCACCTTTTGGTGTTAAAAATGTCACTGATGCTGGGAATTATGATCATTTAACTTAATGAGATACGTTGTCAGTCGCCGACATTTAACAATCAATGAGAGTCCTCTAGATAAACTATTATGAACCCCTCGACAACTTGCTCAATTCCATCAATTTTATCACAAATATTCATTTTAACTTTTAAAAAAATATCACAATTGAATACAGAAGAAAATAAGATTTAAAGAACTTTTTTTAATTCTCGAGTCCTGAGCATTTTGTTAACATTGCCATCCATCATTGGCAGCCATGTTAGAATTTCCAAGTAAATATTGTAAATTAAATGAACACTTGGGTTGAGTCTTTTAATTTTCTATCTTTAAAAACCTACCAAAAGATCATACGTAGAAAGGAGCATTTACATGAGAACTGGTTATCCTGAATTAACAGCATAAGAACTTTGGGTAATAAAGATTAGTGCCCTATGAATTTCAGAAATCAATGTCAACACCTAAATTTAAACTATTAACTCTTTAATAACTATTTTCTGATGATAAATAAAAGTGAATAGAAGAGAATGACAAAACTCTTTCAAAATAAAATTCTGTTTTCTTACAGTCTCTGGTCACATTTGTCAACAAACACCTCAACAAAGTCAATCTGGAAGTCACAGATTTGGATACCCAGTTTCATGACGGAGTCTACCTCACAATCCTCATGGGTCTCCTGGAAGGGTTTTTTGTGCCATTGTACAGTTTCCATCTGACTCCCCAAGATTTTGACCAGAAAGTTCATAATGTGTCATTTGCATTTGAATTAATGCAAGATGTTGGGATAGCAAAACCCAAAGCTCGCCCTGAAGGTAATATAAAGTTGCTTTTTTGATGCCCGCCAATTTTGTTCCCTTCCACTGTGATACATGAATTGTTAATAACTGGTCCTACCTTCTCTTTGTTGCAGATATTGTGAACTTGGATCTAAAATCAACACTTCGAGTTTTGTATAATTTGTTTACAAAATACAAAAACATGAGCTAGTCATTGTTTAACATAACTTGCATTTTGTATAAATGGTGCTGCATCATACTGCCTTACTCCACAAATAAGTATTTTGGAGAACAATCATCTGAAATCAGCAATCTCGCTATATCTTTTGTCAACAAATATGTAAAGTATTATTTTTATAATGAAGAAAATGTCACTTGCCTAGCTGAGATTCTTGACAGTAAAGAATGATCTCGCAGGCAGCCTCCTCATTAGTACAAGTATTCTGTATCTTTTATATGAACAGCAAAAATGTTCATTGCAGCTTACACAGAGCTTTGAGATCACTTAAATTTGTCAATATTTATATAAAATTAAAAACAATTGTTAATGATGTATTTTTAGATGTTTCTGTTAATATTCTTGAGATACATAATGAATTTTAAAATTTGTTAGCTCTCTGATATCCAAATACCCTTTATAATAAATATTAATTACCAAGTGACCTTACCAAATACATAAGAATTAATTTTCATAAATGTTGTATACACATTTTTATTTTATGTTATGAATATAACAAGCATAACTCTACAGTGAAAGAATTATGAAAATTGTAAAATCTTGCCCTCATTAATTTAACAGTGAAAATACACTGTAATACACTAAAATGTCTTTTCTTGCCTGGTCTTTCCTGGAATATCACTTAATTTTCTAAGGAATTATAAATTACAACAGATAGCTTGAACATTTTTCATTAGGAGTCTGGGAAAACAAAATTTTCAGGCAGTCAGAAGAATGATGGTCAAAAAATTATTAGAAATCAGAAGTCATAAATTAAATATTTCTGTCAGTGGAAACTTAATAAATACAACTTGAAAATAGTTAAGGCAAATTCTAGCTGGTGATAAAGAAGTGTGAATAAAATGCACAATTGATGCATTTGCAACCAAAAGTACTTAATTCTATAATTTACCAAAATCCATTTATTTCAAAAAACTTATCTTCATAAGCTCTTGAAAAGATAGTGCAAATCCATCTAAACCATTGGGAACACATCCTGTTTACAGCAAATTCCATGTCAACACAATTTTTTACTAGTGTAGAAGTTTTGAAAGTGCAATGAGCTAGTTTTTGATAGCTAACTTGTGAATTCTATTATCTATGACTTTTTTTTGGTTGTAGTAATATCTGGATCAGCATAAAGAATAACACAGAATTTGAGAAGTTAGTGTTTAATCGCCTGCAGTAATTATTACGCCCTTCAGGCACACCTTTACTTAAGATATTCTCTTCTTATAAGTTAAAATTATTCAAAAAAAATAGTAAATGAATAAAATAAAATATCTACATTTTCACAAGCAGTTTGAAATTAAAGTCTTCCAAAACAAAAAAGGCCTACAAGGGATAAGGGAATAATAGTTGTACAAATAGTCTCTATAAAAAATTACAAATCCAATAAAATAAACTAAAAACACAATTAGCATATAAACTGGCATTTAGAAACAAAGAATAAAAATAAACAAGTTAAAGACATTGAATGTTAGGAGAAAAAAAGGATTTTTGTGGATATGTGGATCTATCCAGCATGTCCTACAGATAGAAATGAGGTGACGCTTACCTTACCAAAGCATTCTATAATTACGGTTTTTACTGAGTAAGTCCTGCAAAGTTCACAATTTTCTGAAGAATTAATGTTTCACTTTCTTTTAAATGAATAAATTCCAATTTTGCATGTTTGCCTAATCCAGCACAAGAAGATGATTTTATTGAAATAATGTCCTTGTTTTCTTCATTTGTTTCATCAAATAACCACAGGGTAGAACTGAAGTAAGTGTCAACAATCATATTAACAAGGTTTCCCTGTCTTTGATTTTGCTCAAAAGATACTAACAATACAGTGTCATTCTTACATCTTTTTGCACAAACTGAAGTAGCGTCAATAAGAGAAGCACATATTTTGGCACTATGAACTTCATGTTCATATTTTTCTTGGATGTTCTCCTCCTCAGGAAATAATTTGCAATAGTAATTAAGTTTCTCTACTATTATTACTCTGGGGACATAAGGATGAATATGCATTTTAAACATATGCTTCAAGAGATCTTGCCATTGTTGAAAGTAACTAGAACAGTAGGAAAAGTAATGAAATCGACTCCTGAAAGCAATCCTATTAACACAGATAAGATCCGGTGGAAAATACTTACAGAAACCGAATTAGGCTTACGGTATCTCTAGTGGGCTGATCAGTACCATGTATAGTTGGTGGCAACTTTTCCCAAGGCGATGGCGCAATATAAAGTACCTTAAAACCTTGCTCTGAATAATAATTAGCGCACTGAAAGGAGGCAATATAGTTAATTAAAAACGTAATGGCAAGATATAAAACATTAAACCTTTACCTGAAAGAGAAAAGTTGACATTATGTTGGAAGTCACGCCTGTCAAGAAAACAGTATTGACATTGTCCGGCTTCATTTTTGAACCAAAAATATTTACTTTTTTATAACCTTAACGTCAAAAGTTCTTCATTATCGTTCTGAAGCGTGACAATTTCAAGTTTCACGCCATTTCTTGAACACACCACCATAGTACATTCCCGTATGTATACGTAATCCACCATGATTCCCGCCAAGTAAATACGTGCGTGTGTGAACATGACAATGTATCGATTTGATTTGAAGTCGATATGAGAGTCCGGTAGTTGACTTGTGCTGCTATCTATGAAATGGTTTTGTACTAAGTGAACGTTGAGCGATTTGAAGTCATGAAAAAAATGTAGTACGGAACGGCAAAATATGTACATAAATATGCAATGAAAACAATAAGAATGTGAAATGAATACGTAAATAGGGATGTAAACATACTAAGCTCTAATTTTCTAATTTACAAAGAAAATAAATATACACAATTTAAAATTAAATTTATAAACCATTTATTTAACACATTTTATAAATAAAATTGCTAGACTCATAACAATAATATTTTGAGTGTATATTCTTAATTCTTCAGAGTAATGATAGATATAGTTAATAAGCGAGAATTCAATGATATGTAAACAATCTTGGTCTTTGTTGACTAAACGCCTGTGACAATCCAAATACAAAGCCAATGTGACAATGTGCTGGGCCTCCATTAGCGTTTTGTTGTCATGCAATTTTTCCGTCGTGAAAATAGAACTCATTGTTTCCAATACAGTTGCATACACTTGCGTCTAAACAATCGCAGCGATTAACAAGTTGCAACATGTCCTATTTTCGCTGCGACGTTTGCGGAGTGAATCACATGAGCAGGCTTGGGCATGCATCCAAGTGTGAGAGTTTAGTAGCAATTCTGCAGACGGCTTGTGCTGCTTTGTTTGTTTTCTTTCCTAATTTTCCCGCTGTTGTTGCTTTTTTAAAATGTCTGACAACCAAAAGAGACCAGCTCTTTACCACAAACAATTAAAATAATATAGTGATAGAAATATGGGCAATACTGGGCTGAAATTTGTACACAGATGATTCAATGCTGGAACGAACTGGCAATAAAAGACAAGTAAACTAAAGGTAAGTTTAAACACAGGAACAAATTTGTTATAATAAAAATCTGTATTGCGACCCGAAATAAAGAGAACACACAAGCTTGAATGATATCGATTGGGAAACTGTTTTAATTCAACGATTTATTTATCGCAGTAAGTTGACCTTTCAGAATTTCTGCTAAAGCAATTTTTTTGTCACCGTGGCTAGAAATCGCTAGAGGAGGACTAGCCTAAGAGAATATTCTCAGCGCTGATGCGCACTTGCCGCGCGGGCGGAGCTTATCCCAGACAGACCGCGTGCACCTTCCGTCATCAGCGCGCTTTTATGGATACGTGTAAGAAAAATTCCGATTTTTTTGAAGTAAAAACAATTTGTGAAAATTCATTAAATGTTGCAAAATCATGCAAAATATTTTTAAAATTGCAAATCGTATTGTTGAGTTGATTCCAATACTTTTCTCCCTATACTTTAGTATAGTATAGTACACTATATAGGGTGTAGCGAGAAAAAGTAAATATCTTTCAAACATTTATGAGAGGGTCAAACTGACAATGCCCCCCTCCGAAATACCTTATTGGATCTGCCCCTTCTGTCCATGGAACTCGAAGCTACATACCTTGTCCCTTATATGTTTTCGAAAGTTCCCACCACTCTGAACCCAACCTGATCACATTATTATCCGTCACCATAATGTTCTTCACCTTAACATAACCAACTCGTGTTGGCTCATGTCAACTTCATTTGGCTTAAATCTGAAGCTTGCTTCGAAGCTATTCTTATTTCGGATTTTTATAAGTCAATTTTGAATAATGAAAACATTTACAGGTTAATTCGAGAATTAACCGCTTTGGACTTAAACCACGACATACCTAGGTGTTGTGAAATAGGAAAATCACGTAAATAACTAGTGGTGCTAAATCAGCACGTACTTTCTCTCTTTTAATAATAGTTATGTAACACTATTTATACTATAAAACAATTTTTTAAAATAAACTGTAAACATGAATGAATGTTTAATCATTTGCAATTTTAGCGATTCTTGTTCCTTTACATGAAGCCCCTGGGACATTTTCAAAACCAAACAAAAAATATAGCTCCAACGTTTATTAAATTTCGTTTTTCGATAGCATTATGAACATTTATGTGAATGGCGCAGGTCTCATTTGCGTTAAAAATCCTGCTTTTTTGAAAGTTTCAAAAATTCAAAACGTTTTCTACATTCTAATTTCTAGTCCGCAAAATTTCTATTTTTATTACAGCCATCAAATTTCAGCTTTGCTGAAAATCTGGTTAATATCAAAGAAAGATTTTCCAGGAGTGAGGATCTTTCTATTGCTCCCAGTACACCGAGGGAAGTGTAAGAACTTATCGTTCGATTTGAATAAAGCGCGCTACGTGCATAGTGTTGTCCACTTGTGCGTTTCTGTTCCGAATCTCTAACAAACGAGCTGTCTCTAACAAACGTCTGCCTTCGGGCTACGTATGACTTTGCAGAGAAGTTTTTACGTTTACAAGTTTTGAACATTTAAGAATTAATTGCAGGAAGTACACTGTACTTAAAATACTGTTACTATATTATAATTTTGTAATATATATTTTTTGTATTGCAACAATATATTGCCAATTGCAGAAAATTGGTAATTGACAGTCATTGAAATTTCTGAACAACTATTGTAATGTATTGTAACCACATGTATGAACATTTTCAAAAAACAAAATTATCTTTAAAATGTTTAACACAAAGAAATAGAATTTTCTTTTCAAAAACGACTGATTTTTCAAACAAATTACCAGACAATAAAACCCCAGATGGCTAATGTACGAGTATAAAACCTGCAAAATAAAACAGTCATTCAACTGGCATGGATGAACATAAACTAGTGTCATAACGAATAAACGCTTTTTTATTGCCGGAAAGTTGTCCAGCATTTTCAATTATTTAGATTTATCATTTAAAAATGAAGAGAATTCCAATTCAACAGCTGAAAGGAGTTGTATATTTGTTTCAAGGAGGTGCATTCACGAGCGGAATCAAACAAAAAGAAACTATCCTCGTTCTAAACAGCCTTCTTCGTTTGTATTTGACGTAGTTTTAAATAATTTTTTTAAAAGTACGCCTACTTTATGTTTTAAATACATATCTAAAATATGCGTCCAAAAAACTCAAAAAATTTCATTTTTCATTTATACGAAATGTATTTAAAATAGTATTTCAATTACAAGTACTGCCCAACTATACTCATTATAAATCGTCCAACATTTGGGGAATAAACTAAATATTTTCAAGCAAATATCAACACAAATTTGAAAATTATAACTGCTTTTCGTTCAGGTAAATCATAACCCAACAATAAGACGTAATTCACAAAAACGAGTCATTGTTGTCGAGTCAATGTAGCATTACAATCTGATATTCCCTGAAAGCTAGCAGTTTTTATTTCTTATTCGTATTTGAAAATGGTTTTAAATAGTTTCTAAAATATTAATGTATAAACTTGTAACAAAAGGTCGAATGTACGAAACGGACAAAGAAATATGAAATAATACACAAATTTAACTTATGAAGCATCCAACTGTCTGGAATTATGTTCACGAGACGCAGTAAATTCGGAGCGAGCGATTATTTTTGCCTTCAAATTACTCCCAAAATACTCACATTAAAAAAAAATGAACATGATCTTATTTACAGGTATATTTTTGATAAACACCTTTCGTTACGAAAAATAATTCTATTTTTACAAATGTAGTCGTAGGAAGACGCCGATGATGAAGCGCTGTCAATTGGGTGCAGGCAATTATATTTCTCGTGAATTTGCGCAAAAATACTCATATTTTCCAAAAAATCAAAATGACTTTATTTGAAGATCTATTTTTTATGCACATTTAATTAAGAAAAAATGTATCTTCACAATTGTAGTGGTAGAAAGACGCCGAATTTTTAATTATTTTTTTAATTTTCGCAAAATCAAGAACTTGAACGAACATAAGATCTGCGTCCTTCTCTTACGCGTCCTTTATGCTAAGATATAAATTTAATAAAAAAAATGTTGCTCGGTTTTGAAGGAAAAACGGTTTAAAGAAAATGACAATTGCCTGTATTAGACACAAAATTTCGTCAAAAATTACTCATGTTTAAAAAATCAAATATGACCTTACTTCAAAACCTACCTTTAAAAAACAAATTTTATTGAGAGAAAAAGGTACATCTTAAATATTTTAGTCGTAGGAAGTTCCCGTAAAAAATTAACATTTTTCGAAAAATCAGGGTTTTCAACAGGCATGATATCTGCACCATTTTTGTAATCGTTCTTTAGACTATCCAACAACAAAATTTAATCAAAATCGAAGGATCCATTTTTAAAAAAAAAAATTGAAAATGTCACGTAAAGTACTCCCCAAAATTAAAATATCAATTTCAAATTCAAGGGGCCGCGACATCAGCTACATCGATCGGAGAATATCAATTTTGGAGAAAATTGGCTGAAAGGTTAAGCCGCTAGCGTTGTTCACTGACGGACAGAATGACGGACAGACATTTTGCCGTCAATCGACTTTCCGTTATCAAGGACCCCCAAAACAGATTCTAGCTACACCACGCGTTAGAGGATCCTTTTCCCTAAATTTAGCAATTCGATTCATCCAAATTTTCAATTCCCTGGCCATGTAAGAATAGTGTTTCTGCCGAAAATGTGCCGTTTTTCCGCATTGCTACACACCTTTCTCTCCAGCGCGGTAGTGGTAGCGAGAAAGTAAAACTAAACGAAAAATACATTAATTAAAGATATAGGTAATAAACATGCTTATGTTTCGCCTACACACATTCATGAGCCACCCGGAACACGCTCACAACGGGGCAGCCTGTGGGCCCGATAGATTTTACTTTTTTGACGCATTCATGTATTTATTGTTGAAGGTTATCGATCAAACTGATCAACATAAATGTTGAAACATTATTGATTTGAGAAATTAGAATAACTTGGGAAAAATTAGCATAGTTGATTGCTGTGGCGTCTGGTATCCGAACAAACTGGAGATTGCAGCTCGTTCAAATGACAAAAAGGTAATTTCCAAAATTAAGAACACTAATATATAATAAAATGTAAGCAATACATGTAAATTAATTGAAACTAAGTTAAATAAAATTCTGTACTGAAATATTACTTACATATTTTTATGCGTAATGTCAGTATCAGTTATTCTGAGGAGAGCTTTATTTTGGAAACAACACAAGGAAAGGACAACAGTATTGATAGTGGGGAAAATACATAATATATTAACAAATAATGCAGTGAAAGGACACGTGAGCAAATTCCGTGCGGCAAAAAATAAATTAAGAAGTTATTACGAGCAGGAAACTAAATAATAAACATATTCTACGTTATATCTACCACAATAGCGGAGCGAGAAAGTAAAAAGGTTCAAACGTTGTTTTCGAAGAATCAGAATATTATCAAACATCTTGCCTGGCCAGCACAAACGCCAGACCTCAACATAATTGAACCGTTATGAGACGTTTTAGAGCGGAAAGAGGGGAGCAGATTTGCTGCTCCAACATCGCTGAAGCAATTGGCGGATGATTTGATACATGAATAGGAAAACAATCCGTTGGAAACTCGAGTTGTGGACTTCTGAGATGTGTTCTGAAACTCGCAGGAGGGAACTAATTGTATGAGCCTATGCCACAACTAGCGTTCCAAGTGTAAGCGTAAATTTAAAAACTGAGAGGATCTCACTGCTACTCCATGAATTAAAAATAACGTTTCGATTCTGTTGAAGACTTTTGTTTAATTCATTATCACACATTACGTTAACAAAATAATGAGCATTTCGAATCTTCAAATTATTTACACTTTTTAGGCAAAATCAAAGGGTCATTAATATAATAATTATTTAAACGGTATTCT